CTGGGACTCCCCACGGTCCCCCCAAGGGGCATTTGCTGCTCAGCTTTGGAGTTCTTCATTCTCCAAACATCCCCCCCAAAAAACCCAACCCAGGGACCCCCGAGGATATCTGGGCTGAGCTCCCCTTCCCTGGTCACCTGTGGGATGGGGGATAATGACCCCACAGGTGGGGGGCTATGAATTCAGGGAGTGCTCAACCTTGTGGTTACTTCTCCTTTCCCTGATCTTCCTTTGTTCCTCCTCTTCCATCCCTCCTCCTCCTCCCCCAGGAGCAGCGACACCCTCGGTGCCCCGTTTCCAAACCCCTCACAGCCCACGGCAGGAGCGGGGATGGAGCCGGGACAGGTCGGGATGGGCAGCGCGGGGCTCTCCGCTGCTCCCACCCACTGGGGACGGGGGGAACCCGGCCCGGGGAAAAGGAGAGGGAAACTGGGAAAATTGGGGGCTGCAGATCCAACCTGGGGCTGGCTGGGGACCCTGGCTGGGGACTGCCAGCCCTTGGGGCTCCTCTGGGGAGATGTGGGAGGGGGGAACACAGAGAGGGCTGGGGGATCCCAGGAGTGGCAGCACTGGCAGGGACTGGTTTGGACTGGGATCATCCTGTGATCACACTGGCAATGACTGGAACTGTATTGGATGTGTACTGACATCATACTGGAATCATACTGGGAGCAGCTGGGCCCATGCTGGGGGGGACTGGGATCCCACTGAGGGTGACTGGAATCATACTGGGATTGACTGGGAGTGGCTGGGAACAACTGGAATCATGCTGAGAGCAACTGGGAGGAGCTGGGAATGACTGGGAGCGTGCTGGGGCTGACTGGGATATACTGGGAGAGACAGGGAGTCCCAGGGATCACACTGGAGGCTACTGGGGTCACACTGGCACTGCCAGGGAGCAACTGGGGGCCACTGGCCTCATACTGGGAGTGACTGGGATTAGACTGGGAGTGTGAAGGAAACTGGAAAATTGGGGAAAAAATGGAAAAAAACCCAGGATAAATTCAAGGAAAATGGAAGGGAAAATTCAGGGAAAAACCAGAAAAGTATCAGGGTGAAATCCAAAAACATCAGGGGAAAATCAGGAAAAAATTGGGAAAAATTTGGGAAAAATGGGAAAATTTGAAAAAATTGGGGAAAACCAGGAAAAATTTGGGGGGAAAAAAAGAGAAAACTCAAGGAAAAAATGGGGAAAAATTGGGGAAAAAAGTCAGGAAAAGAAAGTGGAAAAAAATTTGGGAAAAATCAGAAAAAATGGGGGAAAAATCAGGAAAAACCAGGGAAAATTGGAAAGAATATTGGGGAAATCAGGAAAAAAACTGGGAAAGAACTTGGAAAAACTGGGGAAGATCCATAAAAGAAAGAGGAATAAAATCTGGAAAGAAATAGGAAAAATCACAGGAAAAATCAGGTAAAAACTAGGAAAATTTGAGAAGAAATTGGGAAAAAGCTAGAAACGAATTGGAAAAGGAAAAGAGAAGAATCAGAAAAAAGTGGGAAATACATGAAAAAAATTGTGAAAAATTGTGAGAAATCAGGGAAAATATCAGGAAAAGAAAGCCGAAAAGACCCTGGGAAAAATCAGGAAAAAATTAGGAAAAATATTGGAAAAATGAAGGAAAAACCAAAAATATTTGAGAAAAAAAATTGCAAAAAAATCTGGAAAATAATTGGGAAAAAATCAGAGAAAAAATGTGGAAAAAAAGGAAAATCACGGGAAAATCAGGGAAATGAAATGGACAAGGATAAAAATATCTGGAAAAATCAGAAAAAAAAAATGAAAAAAAATCAGGAAAGAATTGAGGAAAACCAGAAAAATTAGGGAAAGGATAAGGGAAAAATCTGGAAAAAAATGGGAAAAAAAGGAAAAAACACAAAAATCAAGGAAAAGTTTGAGAAAAAAAATGGGAAAAAATTGGAAAAAATTGGAAAAAAAAATCAGGAAAATAAAAAAAATTCATTGAAAATATTATGAAAAAAAATAAGGGAAAATCAGGAAAAATATTGAGAAAAAATTGGGTAAAATCAAGAAAAGAGAGGGAAGAAACCTGGAAAAAATCAGGAAAAATCAGTAAAAAAATTAGGAAATACAGGGAAAAATCAGGGACAAATTGTGAAAAAAATTGGGGAACGATGAGGAATAAATTGCGAAAAGAAGAGGGAAAAGTCAGGAAAAAACGGGGAAAAATCAAGAAAAAAATTTAGGAAAAGAATTGGGAAAAAACAGGGAAAAATCAGAAAAAGAAAGAGGAAGAAGACTGGGAAAAAACTGGGGAAAATCAAGGAAACAAATCAAGTTAAAAATCAGGAAAAGAAAGTGAGGGAAAAAACTTTGGAAAAATGGGAAAAAAATTGGGAAAAAACCAAGAAATATCAAGGAAACAAACAGGAAAAAATCAGGAAAAATTAGGAAAAAAAAGGGGAAATATTGGGACAAATCAGAGGGAAAAATCAGGAAAAAAATTTTAAAAATATTCGAGAAAAATTGTTTGAAAAATGAGGAAAAAAATCAGGAAAAGAAAAAGGGAATAAAACCTGAAAAAAATCAGGGAAAAAAATCAGGGAAAAAAATAAAAAAAAAAAAGAAAAAGAAAAAAATTGCAGGAAAATCAGGAAAAGAAAATGGGTAAAACAGGGGAAAAAATCGTGAAAAAAATGGGAAAAACCAGAAAAATTACAGAAAAATTGGAGAAAAAGTTGGGAAAAAGACAGAAAACTTTGGGAAAAGAAGAGGAAAAAATCAGGAAAAAATGGGGAAAAAAATGGGAAAAATTCAGGGGAAAATGAGGGAAAAATCAGGAAAAAATAAGAAAAAAAACAAAGAGAGAAAAAAATTGGGGAAAATCAGGAAAAGAACAGGATGAAATCCCCCTATCCCATTTTTCCATGGAATTTTGGGAATTGCGTGCCTGGGAGGTTGTAGAAGAATTTCCAGATCTGGGAATCCAGGGAGAGGGGAAAGGTGGAATTTCAGAAGAGCTGGTCAAAATTTTTGGGAAGGTTGATAGCCTGGTCCTCTTCCAGCTTCCAGAATGTTCAGATGAATCCCACGCCTCCTTCCAGCTGGAAATCATGGAAAAATCACGGGAAAGCTGTGATTCAAATTCATGGAGTTTTGCCCCCAAAGCACCCTTTTTTCCCACCAAAATTTCTATTTATCCCCCAAATTTCAATTTTTGAGATAATTAAATGGCGAAGATAATGGGAAATGGGGAAAAATAAGATAGAAATTGAGGAAGAATGGGGAAAAGTTGGGGAAAACTAGAAAAATATGGGGGAAAAGTGAGAAAAATGGGAGGAAAAATGGAGCAAAATAGAGGAAAATAGGGAAAAATGGGGAAAAAATAGGGAAAAAATGGGATAAAAATAGGAAAAATTTGAGGAAAATGAGATGGAAATGGAGGAAAAATTGGGAAAAATGGGAGAAAGAAAGGGAAGAAAATTAGGATAAAATTGTGGAAAAATGAGATAAAACCAGGATAAAAATGGGGGGGGGGGCATAAGGAAAACTGGGATAAAAATGGGAATAAAAATGGTAAAGACGAGGCAAAAATGGGGGAAAAACGGTAGAAATTGGGGAAAACAGGAGTAAACATGGGGAAAAAACTGGGAGGAAATGGAGCAAAAATAGGGTAAAATGGGGAAATAATAGATTAAAAACAGAAAAAAAAATGGGAAAAATAGGAAAACATGGGGAACGATTTGAGGAAAAATGGAGGAAAAATAGGAAAAAAATCAGAAAAACTGGGAAAAAATGAGGACAAATGAGATAAAAAAGGGAAATTGAGGGAAAAAGGAAAAAAAAGGGGGAAAATTGGGGAAAAATAAAAAATAGGATAAAAATTGGGAAAATTGTTATGAAAATGAGGAAAAATTAGAAAAAATAGAGCAAAAATGGGATAAAAATCTGGAAAATGGGATAAACTGAAGACAAATTGTACTCTAACAGGGAATGACTGGGAGTGATTTGGCTTATCGTGGGGATCACAGGAAACTGAAACCACACGTGGGGAGCAACTGGGCAATGCTGGGAGCAGCCACTGCCGGCACCGGGAGCCCCGAACCCCTTTCCCGGCCATGCCGGACCCGCATCC